TTTTCTATTGAATTTCCTTTTTTATTTAATTTCAAATAGATCGTTAAGGTGTAGTTCTTTCTTGAATGAACTTCTATTTTTAATTTTATGAACTTCCATTTTTATTTTTATTCCACTTCCTTTATTCAATGTGATTAGTTTCAGTTATTCCTAATCCACATGCAATGTCTACAACAATCACGACTATCCTCCACCGATAGCCCAAAACAGTTATTTCTAAACTGAAAATAAATATATCAACAATTCAATAGGCGAGTGATTTAAATTATCTAACTACGCCATTTAATCAATGAATTCCCCAATTCCATGAATTTAACCATATTTTCCCAAAATTACCAAAGTATCCCCAACATATCAAAATACCTAAAACTTAGAACAAGACTTATAGAATGGAGTAGGAAATCCTTACCTCGAAGAAAACAAACCAAATGGAGAAGACAGAGATGAATACCCAAATACCAATGTGCTCCAAATCGCCAAATGTTCAGATTAAATGAAAGCCCTCGACTCCATCTATCTTTTTAATAAAGCAACTAGGGTAGAAACACACTCTAAATAGATCAAACCTAAGAGAGAAGGTGAGTAGGGAGAGAGAGAAGTCGAACCTAGGGTTTGGAATCAAAAAGAAGATGAAAAAGACTGATCAAAACCCGCTGCTGCGTATATAAACTGGACAGGCTCGCTCGAGTGAAGACATGGTCGCTCGAGCAACCAGACACAAGAAAACCTCGCTCGAGCGAAGAAAAGCTCGCTTGAGCCAAGAATACAATGCTTCAGGTCTGCAACCCTGGAGCACGCTCGAGCGACAGAATGCTCGCTCGAGCAAGGAACTCGAAAACATACACCTCCCTCGCTCGAGCGAAGAAAATCTCGCTCGAGCGAATAAGCACTGCCCTCAGGTCTATACCAGACGCAGTCGCTCGCTCGAGCGAAGCAAAGCTGGATCGAGCCAGAAGACACAAAATACAACCCTCGCTCGAGCGACCAATCCCTGGCTCGAGCGAACAACCCAAAAACTGGACAGCAACACTTGGTTTACAAATCCAACTAACCTGAAACAAACCTGCCCAACTCATCCTATAACTCCAAATGAGAAAATAAAGGACGACAACAACAATTATACAATGGCAGAATATACGGAACCTAAGTCCGGATTCAATAATCAAATGGGAAAAGACCGGGGTCGCTATACATGCAATTATATATATATATATATAGAAGGACAAGAAATGGTAAATTTTACATTATTAATCCATGCCAAAATGAAGTTTTAAAAGTACCAAATTTGTGTTCTCCTTCTAGGAACCTGCAGGGCCTCCATATAGTACCACATGCCCAAAGTAAGCCCCCCTATTTCCTTCATCTTTCACATCATACAGTTTTCTACTGCTTGTAAACTCGTATGTTTGAGGATTTATATCCCCTCCACTTGGACTCTTAAGTGCAATACTCCTGAAGTATGCATCATAACTGGTGCTCTCAATTAGAAAATGACCTCCCCCCATTGCTGGTTTAGGGGTGCCCGGTGGACTAAATACCTCTCCTCCCCATTCAGCATGTGAAGCTAAGTTTGCTAATCCGCCGTCAAGTATTCTCTTTGGCCAAAATCCAACATTGGTATTCGCAACTCCAAGCCACCAATTTCCATTAGCTAGGTCCTATATATTTTTACATGGATATCAAAATTAAATAATTGAACAGAAGAACGCAAATTCTATTTCTTTACCACTAATTACTTAATTATGATTTTTGTTTCATAATTATTGGTGTAATAATTATTTGACACAATGGTAGCATGACTTGGGAACTTGTGGTCTGCCAATACAGTGGTCTAGGTGTGGACTTCATGTATATTAAGAGTTTTCAAATTTTACCTGCAAGATGTAGATTTCCACCTCAACCAGTATCCCTCCACGTATGGAGACCTTTCCAATTACTGAACCAAGAGGTATATCTGTGTTCACAGTCACAAATCCAGGACAATTTGTATTGAAACAATGAGATTGACCTGCCTGTTTGGTAGACAAACATATAAGAATATATTGTAAGAGCTACTAAGAAATATGGTCAATTAAGTAATATGCACTCAAAAGCAATGATACTTACATTCGTATATATGAATAGTCGACTACTTGAGTCACCAAACAGAGTTGGATCCACCTGAGACAAACCAAAAACATAATAAAAACAAATTCTTTTGTCTATGTGAAGCTAGTTTTTACTTCTGAAAATTGTTTGTAAAAGAAGTAAGAAGTTAAATTTACAAGCAAGAAGATCAACTTACCCTCCACCCGACTTGTAAGCTATCAGGCCCATTTTGAATCATCATTCGCCCTGGACTATATTGTTTACCCCTGACACCTGGTTGGTGTACACTAAGTACCGCTGACGCTCCACTGTATTTGTTTGGACCATCTATTGTCTCAACTATGGCATACTGGGTAATAAAAGTCCAAAACATGTGTGTTACTTTTATATTTTCCCTTTAACCTTTTCCACTCTCAAAAT